TGCAGAGAAAGGTTGGCTGACAAGAGACACTAAAGAGGGAGGTCGGCAATTGGCTCACAACCAAGATTGGAATAGAATTAGCGTGGCCAGTGTAGTTCGTGAGAGCCCTCCTTAAAGTGCTTTTAAGTTGGCATCCACTCAGACCCGGGATTGGATACGCCGCCTATTCATCTTGTCGTCGACCTTCAAGTCCTCGATCTCAAAATCTCTTTGTGATGTCTTCGGTGTCTTCCAAGTGTAGTGATTACACTGGGGTGAACTCAATGGTGTCAAATGAAGACTTTGAAAAGATGAAAAATCTCCTACAATAGAAAGAGAGATAAGACTCTGCGGGAGATAAAGGGAATGAACTCTGACGAGTGAGGACGTCTGATGAGTGGAAGAAAGATGGTCGGAGGATGAAGAATGAAGAAGAAGACATGGTAATCTATATGATAGATGGAGGCGTAACAGATACCTTAAACAGTAAAAAAGAGTTTGAGAACCACGATGCGTAAATATTATAGTTTGGGGCCCTTGATGTGTGAAAACCCCAAAACTAAATTATTTATAATTTTGACTAATAAAAATATCGGCATGAACTGTACTCAAAATCAATCATTTGCAGCAAAACTTTTTTCTTCAAGAGTGAATGCCATGAAAATATAACACTCTAAAGGTCAATACAATTGATACTTCAGCAACAAATTTATCATTTGACATAATCTTCGGGGCATGACATGATTCTCGATGTAGCTTTTGAGCAATAAATATTTAAACTTTGATTAAAGATTATCCAGAACTCTGATTTTAGCAAACTCACATTTAAACTAAGCAGCTCGACGAGACGGATCAAATTGTGTCAAAGTTGGTCCAATCTGAGTCAAATTAAACCCATATCAATCTATTAAACCATTTTAGAATCTTTGAATGCATAATTGGAATGTTAAACGAATTCCAAATCTATAAAACCTATAATTATATTTAGTGTATTGACAAAAAGGATCCAACGAGCCCAAGATCACCAAATTCTGACATCTTTAATGCACTTAAATGTCCGCAGAACACTGCTCAATCGAGGGAATCTCCACAAGTCATTTAATAAGAGTGATATGGATTCATTCCTTATTTGCGACACGGATTAGAAATAAAGCCCTACTCCCAACTTTTTGAGGGGAGACCTAAACCTTAAGCCAGAAGAAGAACGAAGCTTAAAGAAACAACAAAATTCCAGTATCCCTTCTACACTAAAGATCCGATTAATACCTCCCACTTTTGTAGCCACCAACCACCATCAACCACCACTTATCAGGCACTTTCTACTTGTTATAGCGAAGTTCTGTACAGAGTTAAAACTAGTGTTGCAAAGTGAGAAGTAACAACCAACGATGCGAAGTCATGAAGCATCCTATGAAGTAGTGCATCATCCTGAATATCATGTCAACCTTAAAGACGGCGTACCAAAATTTCAAAAAAATGCTCCCCGTTGCGACAACTCCATACCGAGGGGCAACATGATTTTCTATGCATGATCTTTGTAACTCAAGAAACTATGTAACCCTTTCACTCTTATGAGACAAGAGCTTGTACATGTAATCATCAACTCATAATGGATCATTTTAACTGAGCCGGACCTTCTGGTTTTTTCCCTTCTCCAGTTTTCCATGTAAAACTTCTCATGTTTCTATTTATCACTTTTTATTACCTAAGTGTGTGACAAATTCTCAAGCAATAAGAATCGCTTCCTCACTAATCGTAACTTTCAAGTTTCTTCACACTTGGCTGAGGTGGTCCTCTAATGCCCCACTTGAGTGGATTTTAAGCTCTCAAATAAGGATTCATATGAAGTGGTAACTGATCTCTACTAGCATGTTTACCACTATCAATCCAACATGCACATTCAACATGTCTCTTATGCGCTTCTCTGTCAAGTGTTCTTTACCACTCTTATGGGTCAAGCTCGTGCCTGGCTCTACTCCCTCCTGAGGGTTACTATCAACACCTTCAACAAGCTTATCAGGTTATTCCTTAAGCAGTTGATAAAAAAATAAAAGAATCATAAAATATTCATCACATTTATCAGTATTTTGCTAGAATGAGGGAAAATCACTCGAGGAATACTTCTACAGGTTATGTATTGAAGCTTGCCAGATTGATCTGACATGCTAACACGACTCAAAAAAATCCGAGTTAGAGCTGACTCGAATATATTTCGAGTCGTCCAGGTTAGAATTGGTCTGAATATTTTTTGAGTCAGGTTTGAGTAACAGAAGTAGACCCGTTTATTATTTGGGTCGGGTTCAGTTTGAGCCCGAAAACCCAACTCGAATAAGTACGAAAGTTAGGGTTGGGTTCGGTTAGTGGGTTAGCTCAGGTTCGGGTCTTAGTTTTCGATCTGTTTATTATTCGGGTCAGGTTTGGGTTTACCCTATTCGGGTCGGGTCATTTTTGGGTTTGACTCGAACCCGACATGCTGACCCGAATTGACACTCCTACTCGGAGGGCTCCGTTCTAGACCTTTTTTACTCATAGTTGATGTGGGAGACGGTCCGCTCTTACGTCATTTTTGTCCATTGTATCGGCGCTCGAATCTCTGTAGATGAGGCCATCAATGCACACAAGGAATACTTCGATCGATTTGAGGGCAAACACAAGAAGAACATCCTGGATGCCAATCATATTCACAACGAAAGATGCTTGAACAGTAGGGAAATTGTGATTTCTCTCCTCGACCAACAAACCAGCAATGGGAGCCTTCATGAGAAAAAGAATACATGCCACTCAATATGTCACGTGTCAACGTCCTGATGGCCACGAAGGATGAATAAATCATTACCTGGTTCACGCCATTAAAAAATCCATATGGTGGATGCCAGTCTCAGTATTTTTATTTCCACCATGCAAAAGAGCATTGTACCGAAAAATATTTTAACTTAAAGGGAGAAATTGAATGTCTAATATGTTTTCAATTAAAGGGAGAAATCAAACACTGATACGCCAATATTACTTAGATCGCTACATACAAAAAATGGGTGAAGAGAATCAGAAGAAAATCATCGAGATTAGTGAATGGGAAGTAAAGCTACAAATTATATTATTTTAGTCAAACATTTTGCTTTCATCATAGCATATAAGTTTGTGATTCTGTTTATAGCAAGATTTTTTCTATTGCCTTAAGAGAATTTTTGTTTGGTGATGAATTTTTTTTTTCTCAAAAAGCTCTTTGTGTAGAAAAAGCTCTTGAGGTTAAGTGATAGACAATATCAACATCCATAGCCTTGGAAGACGAGCCAGGTGGCAAGCCTCAATGAGAAGCTAGTGGACTAGTAGTGGTTTTCATGTTCTCACACTTGCAACCCGCTACACGACAAATCAATTTCGCGATCCATTTGATGGCATGATAATGTGTTCAACTACAGACCACGTGAATCTGCACAGGTTAGTCTCACGAAGGCATCGACCAGGCTCGCTGACCGGAGAACTTTGGCCCACATATCTACCATGTCGGTTGGATGCTCCATTGACCCGATGCCACAACTCGTTCAACTACCTGAGAATTGAGCCTGAGCTGTCAAGCCTAACCGACTAGCCAAATTGCATTAATATGCCAATGCGAGATTGAAGAGCGAAACATCATACAAGAAGAGGAAGCACCCAACCAATTGAGACACACACGTTATATATATATTTTGAAATATTCAAGA